TCTGGAGGATCATTGTTTTTGAACTATGTGAAAATCACATGGAGCAACTGGAACTGTGGTATCTCCTTGTATACTTAGAATCTTGACCTGCAGCATTCTCAGGACTGACCAGGGGATCAATGATTGCCAAGAATTGCTCAAACAAAATTGTGGTAATTGTAAGCACAAAGCAGTTCTCTTGGTTTACTTCCACCAACTCCCCGATTGCTGTTTATCCACCCTACACAGGCCTGCTGCTGGTTCACGTGTCACACAGATACATTCTAGTGTGTGAGTTTCCCTTTTAACTTAAGTTGGGTGGCAAGTGATATCCGTTTTAAATCTCTAGGATATGGCAAACACAAAGTTGAGATAAATTTAAAAATGATATGAATTGAAATCTATGATATTTTAGGTCTTACCTATATTTAATAATAGTTTAAAACTTGATTATATCCTGCTCACCAAGTAAAGATTATGCCAAATTGGGAAAGGAGAAATAGGCATCTCTTAACATTCTGTGTTATTTCTGAGAACAAAGAAATATAAAGGCTAAGAAATGGTGGCACTTATTTCTCTTTTTAAATTGAAGTTAAAAATATATGATTTTTTGTTTGTTTGTTTGTTGTGAAACAGAGTCTCATTTTGTCACCCATGGTAGAGTGCTGTGGGTGCACTCTTGCCTCATCCTCCTGAGTGGCTGAGACTACAGGCACCAGCTACAACGACTGGCTATTTTTTTCTTTTTTTTAAAGATGGGTTCTCTCTTGCTCATACTGGTCTGGAATTCCTGAGCTCAGGCAATCCCCCACCCCCACCCCACTGCCCACCTTGGCCTCCCAGAGAGCTAGGATTATAGGCATGAGCCATGGTGCCCAGCTAAAAATAAGGTTTTTTAAAATTAAGGTGACAGACAGTAGGTGAAGTAGAATGATTTGAAGTATTTCTTCTTTTTCTATTGTCTGTAAGATTTGGCATGATCTGTTTTTTGAAATTATCTTTTATTTTTATTTATAAATATTAGTGGTATATTTTTTGAGACTTTGGAAAAGAAAAAGTTAGCTGATGACTCCATACTGAATCTCAGAGTCAAAGCATTCTATGATAGACATACTTTTATCTGACAATGTGAATGTTACTTTTCTGCATTATTATTATTATTGCTCAATATTTCATTGCAGCAATCATCTGATTTCTTTTTTGAATGTATTTATCTTAGTTCGTTCATTACAAGGTTTTTGTTTCTAGTCCTTCTAAACATTGTTATTATTATTAAATTTTAAGCCTCTTTAATTTTGTGAAGGCAAAAAGTGGAAACCAAATAAACACATGTATATATAGAGAGAAAATAAAAAAAAAAAACTAAGGTGACAGATACTATTTAAATACCATATTAACTTGTACGCTTCCCTTATTTTCCCCCGTATTTTAACTATATATGAGTAATATTGAGAGAATCTTGTGTCTTTGTATTCTGATATACTTTATCCTCAGCAGACTTTATTATATATTTTTGCAAAACAGAAATTATCACTTAAATATTTGAACAAAAAATTAAACAGTACAAACTTTTTTTTTTTGAGACAGTCTTACTCTGTGCCCTTGGTAGAGTGCCATGGTGTCATAGTTCACAGCAACCTCAAACTCTTGAGCTCAAGTGAGTCCCTTCCCTCAGTCTCCTGAGTAGCTGGGACTACAGGCACCTGCCATGATGCCTGGCTAGTTTTTTCTTTCAATTTTTAGTAGAGATGGGGCCTTCTTCTTGCTCAGGGTGATCTCCAACTTCTGAGCTCAGGAAATCCACCCACCTCAGCCTCCCAGAGCGTTAGGATTACAGGTGTGAGCCACTGCGTCCGGCCCAGGAGAAACATCTTAATTACATTAGACATTTTTTATTCAAGTATCATTTAGCTTATTTTTCTGAGTCACAAGCATTATATTAATATTCAATATTTCATACACTTTTGTCATTTTAGCAAATAACTAGTACAATCAAGAATTTCCTATGTATACTTCCAGAACTGTGGTGTACATGTTTCTTTTCTTTAAATTTGTCTGCCAACAAAGAGATTTTATAACTAAAGAACAAAAAGACAAAGAATCCAATGAATAATAGTCAACTGACTTAAATAGGTATTTTCCAAAGAAGACAAAGAAATGTACAATAAGAACATGAAAAAATTCTCAATGTCATTTGTCCTTGGGGAAAGGCAAACCAAAACCACAATGAGATAGCACTTCAAACCCCTTATGATGGCCATAAAAAAGTAAAGCAAAACAAAACCAGAAAAAAACTATTCAGTAGGATCTGAGAAATTGCTTATAGGGATGTGAAATCTATTTACATCCCTATAAGCAGTGTGTTAGAGTTCAAATGTTTGTTTATATGTAGAAAACAGCTTGGTGTTTCTTTAGTCAGTTAAATATAGAATTACCAAATAATCTAGCGATTCTATTTACCAGTTTACACACACACAAAATTAACATAGGTGTTTAAATAGAAACCTGTACATGAATGTTTATAGTAGCTTTATTCACAATAGGCAACAAGTGGAAAGAACCCAAATGTCTGTTAACTGATGAATAGGTAAACAAAATGTAGTATAGCTGTACAATGAAATACTATTCAGCGGCAAAAAAGAACAAAAGTACTGATACATGCTACAACATAGGTGAAGCTTGAAAACATTATGCAAGTAATAGAAACTGGACAGAAAAAGGCCACATGTTGTATTGTTCCATTTATATGAAACATACAAAATAGGCAAATATATAGAGACATAAAGGAGATTAGTGGCTCCCTGGAGGTTGGGGGAGGAAAATGTGGGGTGACTAATGGACATGGGATTTCATTTCAAGTGATGAAAATGTTCTGGAACAAGATAGTGGTGATGGTTGCCTATCGTGGTGAATGAGTTAATGCCATTGAATTGTTTTTTATTTGTTGCCATTTTAAATGGCTACAATGGGTAAATTTTTACATTATGTGTATTTTACCACAATAAAGGGAAAATTTTAAAAAATTGCCTAGACAAAGATTCAGGAGATTATACTTTTGGATGGTCATTTATACACACAGACACAGACACATACATACACATATATACAGGGTGGCCATGACATTCATGCATTATTCATCATACATAATAGATTTCACTGCTTTTCAAAAGAATCTTTCTATGGTTAGGCAACATGATACCTTTTTGAGTAAATAACATACAGCAAAAAAATGCGCATTTATGTTGATTTACAGTCAAACATGGGAATTTTGTGGTTAGAATGACCAGTTTTATGCCTTGTGAAATCTCACTTGCTATCTGACCTAACACTGTATTTTAAGTGAAGTAAGGGTAGCGATCAAGGGCACAGGTTTTAGAGATAAGTGGAATTCAGTAGATTCAAATTTTTTCTTTTCTACTGTTATTACAGTAGAACTTCAGGCAATTTACAATAACTTCTCAACTCTATTTCCTCACTAGTAAAATGGGGATAATAATATCTAATTTAATGTGATGTAAGAATTGAACAAGTTCATATGTGAATAGTACGTAGCCCTGGACTCAGCATGTGGTAATATAACAATATGACAGCTACT